CACTACCTTGACTTTGATCACTTTTTTGGTATTTCTTTAAGTGTATTCCCCTAGACATTATAATTTAGTCTTGCTCTTTTCCTTAATTGGGTACCTTTTAAGTTTCCTTTAATCTAATGGTTCTCCCCATTCTTTTCTTTTTCCTACAATGTATCTATTGACGAACTCAGCGGTTTGACTTGTAAGGTTCCTCTGCCTGGATTCTGCAGATTGGACACCAACGGAGTGTTTCAATACGCCTTTTTGTCTTTTTTTTCCTACAAATTGGCAGATCCAGACACTTGATCAGATTTCAGTTTAATCCCTTTGGTATGACTATACATTATTATGAATTCATGTATTTAAACATATTTAATGTGTTACAGTTCATTCTAATTATTACCCTTACTGAAACTCAAATTACCCCATCTTTGGCCAAAGGGAGCCACTTGAAGTTGGCTTCTGGGTCCCCTGGACATGACCCTAGAAGATTTTAATAGTTCCTCTGCTCTCTAGTATGACAAGATATATCATGTTCATTCTATGCATTTCCTGTCCCAGATCTAGAATCATCCATCCCTCTAAGAAGCCCTTGTTTCTTTTAGTGGGACATGGTTATTTCAAGACCACAGTCCAGGTGATAAGGACAATGACTGTTACTGAAAAAAAAAAAAAACAAAAACAGAAAACCAGACAGACAGACAGACAGGTAAGTTCATACTAATGATAATTACTCATTTTATGCAACATTACACACACATCCTCAAAATACAAAAATTACCATCATACTGAAAAGTTTAAATTTTTTTGCCTATGTTCTCTCCATACTCCCCTCCAGTTTTACAGTAATTTTTTATCAGTATTTCAGAATATAAATCCATCTCAGATGATACTCTCTTTTAACCCCGTATTAGATGTCTGTTTATGGACTCTCGGCTCCCAAATCTTCCCTTGCTCTGCAATAATGGAGCTGAACTCTGTAAATACTTCTTCCATGCCAGTTGATCAGATGTTAGGTTTGGTTAGTAGAGGGCACTGGAGGGCCATGGGGGGAGGAAGAGGCTTCCCTTCCTGGTTTTCACGTGCTTACCCCCTTGGACTCCTGCGGAGGGCACGGCTCCTCGTAGTACTGCCCGGTGGCCAGCAAACACGCGGCAACTGCCCAGGCCACTTCCCCCGCCACACCCTTTCTTGGGTGGCTTCAGAGTGGCGAGCTGCAGGCAAGGAAGGCACCTGCGGTGATTGGTTTCTCTGGATACTTTGTAGTGAATTCTGAGATAGGGCATCTGAGATAAGCCACCCTGTGGACAGCCTCCTCACACACTCGAGAGAGAGAGGATTTCTAACAAGTCCCACTGAGGCCACACTTCAGTGAACTTGGGTCCGCAGTGAGCCACAGTCATGTCCTCTCCAACCAGGTCCAGACCTCAGCCCCAGGGTGGGTGTGGGGGTGAGGAGCTCTTCCTTGGCCACTCAGTTTCACTGCTGGGAGCGGTGTCTGCTCCCCAGATCTACTGCTCCTACGTAGTGGTTCTCTTTGCCTCTTACTCGCCAACTTCACTTCACTCCAATTCCATTAACAGTGCTTTAGAGCAAATGTTCTCCGTTTAAATTACTCTGTGGTTTCTGTCGCTTGACTGTACCCTGACTGAAACACGCCCTCATTCAGTCTTAGTGCTACATGTAATTAAAGATTTAATGCTCACCACCGTCCTTCTGTCATTGTCTGCTTTTATTGACTGTTTTTATACTTGAAAGTCAGTTTTGTTGGATACAAAGTCCTCGGTTCTCATTTTCTTTGAGTATTTTAAATGCTTCACCATTTTCTTCTCGTGTGAAGTGTTAATGTTGAAGTCCTATGATAATCCAGTTTTCTTCCTCTCATAAGTGATGGCCTAGGGGCACCTGGGTGGCTCAGTTGGTTCAGTGTCTGCCTTCGGCTCAGGTCATGATGCCAGAATCCTGGGATCGAGCCCCGAGTCAGGTTCCCTGCTCAGTGGGGAGCCTGTGTCTCCCTCTCCCTCTGCCTGCTGCTCCCCCTGCTTGTTCTCTCTGTCAAATAAATAAAATCTTAAAAAAAAAAAAAGAAACTGTTGGCCTAAATGACCAAAATGTAAAGTCTAGTAATTTTTACTAGGATACACCTTTGTTATTCATTGTTTTCACAGTATGCTCTTTCAATATGAGGTTTTAAAAATATATGTGAATATACATAGGAATATATATTATGGTACATATGTGAATATACAAATACAAAAATATATTTGTATTTCAGGAAAAGTTCTCTTAAATTAGCATGTGTTGTATTTGTTCTGTAACTGGCTTTGGTGTTCTTTATCAGGGCTTCTTTACCCATACATTGGATCTTCTTTGCCAATCTTCAGTGTCCATCATTTCTGTAAAATCATTTCTTTCTCTAAATTTCTTTTGGACTTAAAAAAAATCTCATTTTCAAATTCTAGTTCTCTTTGGACACTATCTGTTGTGTTTGTTTACTCCTATGTTCCTCCTAGTTTTCTTTTCAGATATTATTTTTTTTTTTAATTTCTAATTCTTCCCCAAGTTCTATTACTTCATTTCTGAGTTCTTCTTACTCTGACTTATTTTGCTCTTTCGTTTATCATTTTAACATCTTTACAATTTTGATCCGATTTTTTGGGCAATGACACTGTGCATGTTTTGCATTTGTGGTTTGACCTCATCCTCTTATATTTTGGGGTCTGTGGTATTATCTTTCAGTTAGTTTTGCTGTAAATGTTTCATGCATTTTTGGTTTCACTATCTAGTCTGTTTCTTTGTAGGGATCCAGGGAGATTCAAAACTCATGTACTACCATCTTTCCAGAATCCATTTATATTTTTGAGTCATAAATACTTCTCTTTCTACATCCCTGAGACTTCAATCCTTAGCTGAATGTGATGGAAAGGGGCTGGGGTTGATCAGAATGTTATTTGGATTGGCATAGTGCATTACATCACATCTTCATTCTTGAGTGATTGTTTACTTGGTTATAACATTCTAGGTTGTAATTTCTCCTCAGTACTATATATATATTCACTCTACTCTCTTCAGCACCTATTTTTACTTTTGAAAACTTGGCTTCCAGGCTAAATGTCATTTCTTTGTCAACAGTTTATGTTTTGATACTATTAAGATCACTAAACTTTTCTCTTTGCTTAAATCCATCATGATGTATATGTTATTTTCTCAAGACTCGTTCTTTCTATCTAAAGTGTACCTTTACACACTTTAGATTTAGAATAATAAAGCCATTATTGCTTTGAATTTTGCCTCTCTTCTCTTCTCTGTTTTGGGATGCCTATTAGATATCCTGTTGAATATTCTCATATTATGTAGAACCCCTGAACTTGTTGATTTACATAGGCAAAATTTTTTTTTGTTCAACTCAGTTAGAATTCTTTTTTTAAATCACTGAAACAGAAACACTTTCCTCAAAAGGCAAGTCAGAAAAGAAACCAACAAAGAGGTGATTCCAGAAGTAATCACCTGTAACCAGATATCCTTCAAACCTAAACTACCCCTGAACTTTTTTAGTTATGCAAGTCAATAAATTCACTTACTTTTTTCTCTCTTAAATCAGTTACAAGCCAACTGCAACCAAGAGTTGATTACTATAAATGTCTACTATGTGGGTGGCACTGTGCCAGGTGCTACACAATCAATGATATTCAAAACAAAGTCCATGCCTGTAATAACTGCAATATTTCACACTCATTCCATATCATCTTCATTTCTTCCTGCTTCTCCTGCCACCCCACTCCCAGAACCCTCCAAACTTGGAACGCTTATTTGTTTAAATGTTACAACTTCCTCACAATTCTTAAAACCAAATTTGTTAAGGGCAACCTTGCTAGCTATAGACCCCCACGATGCTTCCCTTATTTTGGATTCTTATTATACTCATACTGTCTTAAATAGGTCAAGTGTTTCATGAAACATCCTTTAATCATATGAACTCCTGAACTTCTTAAGGGCAAAAGTCACACCTTTTATAATTCTAGTTCCCAGAGCAAAGTCAAGAATGATTCTGGACATCACCAGTAACAAGTGCAACCACAGTACTTAGCCCCTGAAGGTCTTTAGTATGGTACCGCGATACAAAAACATACTCCTATCACTTCATCAACTTTATGACATACGGAAGTATATTAAAATATAAATATATAAGGTGCTGATATAGTTCAGAGGGAGGGGAAATCATGCCTGGGCCGGAGCATTCAGAGAAGCCTCCAAAGCCCTGGGATACGTACAGGTCTTGCCTTAACAGAAAATAAAGGAACAGACACCAAGGGCTGAGATGACGGCGTGAGGAAAGGCAGTTTTGCTAGAGCCTACAGCGGTGGAAAGTAAGATTTTAGCGACACAGATAAGGACAGAGTCTAGATCTTAAATCAACATAATCCCTATAATCCCTCTTCCTGTCTTTTACACTGAAAATCCCTGCAGCTGAGCCATACTACCTTGATGTACGGCTCTGTGCAATTTGGTTATTAATTTCTTATCCCCTTAAAGGGATAGGTCTTGTGTCACTCTCTTGAGTACATACGGCCAAGCACTAATTAACTGGAATGAACGCAGGCGGAAATAAGGAACAAGCCCTGTGCCTGGGGACCCAACCAGTCGCGGCTCGGTAATAGAAACCTGGGACCCGGGATCTCTCTCGGAAATCCTCTTCCTCTATCCGCAATTTCTCCTGGGACAGCCTGAGTCCACCTCCCAGGGGATGACGTGGGGAAGCCACGGGCCTTAGACTTCACTGAGACCGTGAGAGGTGGCGGGGGAGCGGGCAGCGTGGTCCCAACCACCGACAAGCCAAGGGCTCCCGGCCGCGGAGACCGGGGACGCCCGCCGCCCGCGCCGGAGCACGCAGCCCCCTCTTCCACGCCTCCCGCCCCCCACCCCGCTCCGCCCCGCGGCCGGCGACGCCGGGGAGAGGCGGGGTTTCCGCTTCCGGTGGCGGATTGTTGACGCCTGCGGCTGCTGCGGTGGCGAGCGGGCCGTTGGGGAGGGGCTAGTGGGGCCGGGAGACGGCGCAGTGACAGGACCGCCGAGGGTGCTGCTGAGGCGACGATGGCAGAGGGGCCGGAGGAAGTCCGAGGCCGCCCTCCTGGGCAGGACGACGGCGGAGGGGACCCCGAGCCCGTCCCTTCCCTGAGAGGCTCTCCCGCCGCCGCCCTACGCCCCCGGGACGGGCCGCAGGCCGAACCCCAGGCCCCGGGCCGGCCCCCCACCCCGGGCCTCGCACCCGCCGCGGTCGCCGCTGAGGAGTCGGAGCCGCCCGGCGAGCCCGGGAAGCGCGGGGAGACGGCCCCCGGCTCCAGTGCGGGGTTGCAGGAGCCGGCAGGCGGCGAGGCGCCCGAGGCCGCCGCGCCGCGAGACAGGCCGGGGCGGCTGAGCGCCCGCGAGTATTCCCGGCAGGTGCACGAGTGGCTTTGGCAGTCCTACTGCGGCTACCTCACCTGGCACAGCGGCCTGGCCGCCTTCCCCGCCTATTGCAGCCCCCAGCCGCCCCCGCCGAGCTACCCCTCGGGCGGTGGCGCCCCCGCCCCCCAGGCCGCGGCGCCGCCGCCCCTCCAGCTGGGCTATTACAACCCCTTCTACTTCCTGAGCGCCGCGGCCGCCGGGCCTGACCCGGGAGCGGCTACCGGCGTCACCCCCGCTGCTCCGGTCGCGGGCCCGGGAGGCCGGGCTCCGCACGCGCAGGGATCCGTCCGGGCAACCCCAGTGAGCAGGGTGGGATCCGGCGCCCCTTCGCGCACCCCGAGCGAGACCGGGCGGCAGGCAGGTGAGAAGCGCGACGGAGAGGTGAGGCGGGGCGGAGCGAAAGGGTCTTGGGGGAGCTCGCTGGTGGCTAGAGCAGGCACACTTTCTCCTTCTGTAACCATGCTGCTGCGCAGATTGGGTATTTCTCTGCGTCCTTCAGCTGTCGTTTGCCCAGGCCTTAAATTCCCCAAAGTGTGCGGCGAGGCTGTACGGTTTCTTTTTCCTTTAGACCCGGCCCTCCGAACGGATTCCTTTACTCCTGGGACTGGTCGTCTCCATGTGTAGGGAGATCGTTGCTCATCAGGCTCGCCTCCTGATCTCCATACCGTGGAGACGGAGATCCAGAGCTCCATCCTCACGTGGCAAACCCGCTTTGACGGCCGGCTCGGCGTGGGGGGTGCGGGTAGTGCGGGGAACAATCCAGACGTGGATTTATTGTGGATGATAGGATGCATGATGATATATAATAGTATCTATAGTATATAATTGATAGGATAATTAGACGTTACCTGTGTATTAGGAACAATGAAACTGCCGGATATAAAAGGAGATTTACGTGAAAGCAGGTGGAGTTATGAACCTCTGAGCTCTAAGTGAATGTTCTTTGTAATATTGTCTGTTTACTTCTGGATGGGAATTAGAATATTTTGTCCTAGTTACATTTTTTTAGTTTATTAGACTTTTTGTTTACTTTGTTCAGCCACATATATGAGACAAGAAGTAGTTTTCCTCAATTTGATCCCATTCAGAACTTAAGAGGTCAGATTGATAATCATTGGATTTATTACATAGAAAAGCAAGACAAACTAAATGAAGAGGCGGTAAAATGAGGAACAGGTTATTTACTTTGTACTAGTAATTGTCTATACTTAACCTTGGTTTTTACTAAAAAAGGTTTAATTTTGTGTCAGAGGCTTGTGATCACCAGGATACGCTTTTGAGTCCCTAATGAAATGTATTGAGTGCCTTAAATAGTTTAATATCTACTGAAATTATTTTTTAAACCGTAATTGGGTGAAAGCAAACTTTAAACTGTTCAGTAAATAGTGGAATAAATACCATGTGCTATTGATGGAGTCAATACCAGTAATTGTTGCAAGGTTTTAACTTCTCTTTTTATTAGCAAGTTATACCTTGACTTTGTGTTCTCCATTTATTACCTAGCTTGGGTTCCAAGGCTTATGTGAAATGAGTAGTTTTCCTAACCTTTTTTTTTTTTTTTAATTTACAGGCAGAGAGTATGTTATTCCATCCTTGGCCCACAGATTTATGGCAGAGATGGTGGATTTCTTTATTCTCTTCTTTATAAAAGCAACCATTGTCTTAAGTATTATGCACCTCAGTGGAATAAAGTAAGTTAAGGCTATTTGCAGAAAGGTTTTAATGTCTACTGTGTAGAGATCTTGTTTTCTGAAGTTCTCTTCATGCCTGCAAATGGACAGTGTGCCAGTGTCACGATTTCTCCTATCGGGAGCTCCTCCTATAAGGACTTGGGCATATTTTATTTCTTGGTTTTAAGAAATAAATGCAAAAAAGAGAAAAACCCTTAATAAGTTATGAAAGATCTGTGGGAATCTCACCTATCAAAAGTAGGTAAACATTTGATTTTTTTTTGACTCAACCATTTTGTTAGACTAGGCATTAATTTCCCTCTCACTATCCTGTTCAGAGTAAAAAACAAAAACATAAAGAGCTTTGGGTAGATGAACTGTTGATAATTAATTAGACGGGCATTTCCAAATGGGATTGCTTACACAACGAGGCAAGTCCCAAGTGAACTGCAAAGTGAGCCGTTTATTTGAATAATCCTCCTTTCATATTAATAATTATATAGCAGTTATCACTTGCTAAGCCCTTTCTATATGCTGAGCACTGAGCTCACTTCATATGGATTCTTTAATTGTATCACCAGTATGAGATGTAGAGGTTAATACCTCCTTTTTGTAGATTGAAGTTAGGGTTTACTTCAAGAAGCTAAGTTCAGAATTTATAAATACAAAGGTCATAAGTGTCAGTGTCAAGATACAAACCCTTTGGTAAAATTTCAGGGCCTTTGCCAGGAACCCCAGTTTTACTGTGATTCCTCCCTGTCTCTCCCTTTCTTTCCCACCACCCACACAGCCATCTAGGTACCAGCTCCTTACTTTTCAGGCTCCTGGATAGCCTTCAACTCAGACCATTTCCCCTTTACTGTTTCATCGTCACTGCTTCTTCCTAGTCCAGTGATTGTCATCCCTCGTCTGGATCATAGCAGAAGTCTTCTAACTGGTATCTCAGTCTCCCGTCTCCTCTTCTATCTCAGTCCAGTCTCTGATCTAAAATCAAAGAGATCATAAATTCTGAGTCTGCCCCTCTCCCACCTTAAAACTCTTCAGTGATTTCTTAACTGCCATCAGGTTAAAGTCTTGTCTTCATATCAATTAACAGATGCTCTTATTTCTTAATTGCTATGACCTTTTATACTTAATATTTGAGCCATGCCATACTGCTTACAGCTTCCATCACAGCCTCGTTCCAAGCCTTTCTCTCTTGCTAGTCTCTCCCTCCTGAAACTTCCCCTTCTTAGTCTGGCTAACTTCTCTTCATCCACAAGATGGGATGGAGAGGGAAGGCTTCACTCCTTAAGTTAAATGTACCTGGTGTGTGTTTCCCTACTATCCTATGGTTCTCTACCATCACCGTCATCCCACTGTATTATTACTTAGTTGTTGTTGTGCTTTGTCTAGTAGGTAAGAGTCTCCATGAAAGCAGAGATCAGGTTGAGTCCCCGGGGCTAGTACAGTGCCTGCTCACGATAGTGCTGCTTATTTGTTGAACAAGCTAATGAATGTTTTGTGAAACTAAATGGGTGGAAACCTAAAGATTAGTTTAGAATTTCAGTTAAAGTCTGACGGTAATGGAAAAAATACCAATGCAATTGCTCTGGTAACTAATTCTTTATAACCCAAAACTATTGTTTTGTGTAGGGATATCTCCAAGTTTGCTATGCATTATATAATAGAAGAAATAGATGAAGACACATCGATGGAAGACTTGCAGAAAATGATGATTGTGGCTCTTATATACAGATTGTTAGTTTGTTTCTATGAGGTAAGCTACTGACTCAGCAAATTTTCACGTTTAACAATCTCATTTTAGATGATCAGCCCAACACAAAAAGTAATGGAAATTTATAATTATTCATGTTTTTGTCAAATATCTCTGTTTTTTAATTTTTTCCAAATGTTCTTTAACATAATATTCTTCAAGTTAAAAAGTAGAACTTTCTGAGTGGTGACATTTTACAATTTCTTTGTGATATATTTCAGTCTTGCGGCCTAAAAATACACTTGCAAGTTGGTTGTGGAACTTGAAATGTATTTTTCCATAGAAACAACTTGCTTAAAAAAAAAGTGGGTCACAGAGAAATAGACGTCTGGTGTATTGAGGGCATAAGAGACCTGCAGAGAAGCCTTACAGCGTTAACCTGTCATTATTCTCTGAGATTCTTTCAACTTGAAAATTTTAAAACATGAATAACATGGCAAAAAACTTCTCTTTAAAATTGGTAGAGTTGAGCTAGTGAATTATTTTTACATTCTCCCTCTTTCCTTAGATAATTTGCATTTGGGGAGCAGGTGGAGCGACCCCAGGGAAGTTCCTGCTCGGCCTTCGAGTGGTGACATGTGATACATCTGTGCTTATTGCGCCAAGTCGGGTTCTAGTGATTCCTTCCTCAAATGTGAGCATCACAACGTAAGTTCTTTCCTTGGCTTAATTTACTACATACTTAGGAAAATAGTAAGTTTTAAGTGTAGAGTTCAATTCAATATTATTCAGAAGTAATACCATTTGATATAGTATTTTTAGGATGTTGGTATTTTTTTCTTCATGGCATGTAATAGACCTGCCTTTATTATGTTTAGAACTGAAAAGTTTGAGGTTTTCTTTCTTTTTTTTTTTTTTTTTACATTACATCATTAATTTTTGATGTAGTGTTCCGTGATTCATTGTTTGCGTATAATACCCAGTGCTCCATGCAGAACGTGCCCTCTTTAATACCCATCACCAGGCTAACCCATCCCCCCACCCCCCTCCCCTCTAGAACCCTCAGTCTGTTTCTCAGAGTCCATCGTCTCTCATGCCTCGTCTCCCCCTCCGATTTCCCCCCCTTGATTTTTCCCTTCCTTCTCCTAATGTCCTCCATGCTTTTCCTTATGTTCCACAAATACGTGAAACCATGTGATAACTGACTTTCTCTGCTTGACTTATTTCACTTAGCATAATCTCCTCCAGTGCCATCCATGTTGATGCAAAAGTTGGGTATTCATCCTTTCTGATGGCTGAGTAATATTCCATTGTATATATGGAGCACTGAGGTTTTCAATTGTTGTAGAACTGTAGACCCCTCTTCAGTATACAATTTCAAGATAATCATTTTATAGAATAAAAGTCGTGAGAGGGTTTGGGTGGTGGTGCTGTCTTTATCAGTGCTTTGGTGCTCCGTACCCAGTTCGATTATTCTCTAAGTTGGTGGTTGTTGGGCCAGTTACTAATCTGCCTTGAGCCTCCAGCTTCCATTTGGTAATAATACATGTCATTATCCCATCCTGAATGGGCAGTAAGAGTTTGGGCTGATAACGCATGCATGCACCCGGCTCTGGCTCTTAAGCGATACGAGAGAGCTTGTCATGCTGCAGTACTCAGGGCTAGCTATTGGCGTGTGGCTCTGTGGGGAGGTACAAATAGTGATAATGGGAGTTGTAGAGACTTAAGTAGGTGGCAGTTAGTTGAGCAAAACAAGATACTGGCTGGAATGCTGCCTGAATGATTCAGAGCTGGGTTGTTATAGAAAGAAATATGAGAGACTCTGGAAGCCTCGATTTTGCAGATATCCTCACATTTCCTTACAGTTTTGTGATTATTATAATCCTGGTTGCTACTTTTAATGAGAGTCAATAAGGGCTGTTTATTGAGCACCTCTTATATAACAGGCCTTGATTAAAACAATACATATTACCTAATAAGATAGGTACCATCGGTACCATTATCCCCTTTTTACAGATGTGGAGCACGAGTGAGTGGTCGAAAATGGATCTGAAACCAACTAGTCTGCATTCAGAGCCACACTCAGCCACAGTGCTTTTTTTGTAGCCTTTCTGTGTGCGGAGGGGCAGAAATCTAACACTGGTAGGATAATTCTCCATTCTGAGCTATGCTTGGAAGCTTTTTAAAGCTTTCTTTAATCACAGCATCCCACAAAGAAAGAATACACAGTAATTTAAACTGTTAGAGCTTCACAGAAGGTAGAAAAGGGGACTACAGTAAGCATATTAGTGTAGAAGGTACTAAACCCACACGAGTGACTATACAGAAGGTAAGTAAAGGGAACAGTTAACTCTTCTAGCAAAATATCCAAGAAAATACTGGAAACCTTTAGTTCACATTCTAAGAAATATTCATTAGTGCTTTTCATGTGGAAGTTCTGAAGTCTTACTCTTACGTTGATGATGTCTTTAGAACAAGCCCAGGTGGTTTGATCAGAATATAATGCTACTTGAAAGTAACTCAGATATTGAAGGTAAAAACTCTCAACACTTTGAATGTATGTTTTAAATATATATTTTGAACTTGGTAGGATAGTATTAATCTCTAAGTGGTTGGTATGTAATTTATCTGGTATTTTTTGCCTTAATTTTTTAGGTCTACTATACGAGCTTTGATCAAGAATTTTTCTATTGCTTCTTTTTTCCCTGCTTTCATCACACTGCTGTTTTTTCAGCATAATCGAACAGCCTATGACATTGTAGCAGGAACCATTGTGGTAAAGAGAAATGGGGTCAGATGATGCCCCAAAAAGCCCTGAATTCCATCCTCTCTGGAATAACGACAAGACTAAATTATGTATCAAGGCCATCAGTATCCCTGGGTTACACTAATTGATGATTTAGAAATTAAAGCAGTCACTCCAGGGTGATGCAGGTGACTATTCTGAAAGTATTGATTTTACTTGAATGCCAAAGAACTTTTCCAGAAGAAAAACCTGTTAAATTCAAGTGTTAAAAATTTTTAGATCGAAAAGAAGGCAAGTGGTTTTATAATCAACAACGGACAATATATACTTTCTTAAGATCTAAGGCTTTAGAATTTGCTGAAAGCATTTTCAGCTGTGAAATCTCCAGATGAAACTTTTAAGAAATTTATTTTGGTTTATCCCAAAATGATGGGAAAAGTCAGTTGTGTTTTGTAAACACATTAACTCATCTTTTAACACTTCTTGGGGAAATTGTTGTTTTTGCTTTTGGGGAGAGGGAGTGGGAACACAAATTTGGTAATCCATTTGTCTCCCACCCTAGGAGGAGGTGAGTTAGCTGCAAGAGAAAGGGGCAGCAGATGAGGCAGGCCTAGCAGTTCCCTCACCGGAAGTTTTCAGATCCGTAGTACAGTGTATTGTGGGAATGATGTCACTTTACAAGTATTGTTACTGTTCGAACATGTATTTGGGGGCAAGTTTTGCATGATGATGAAAAAGTATTAAGTCCTCTTGCTATATTATCATTGATTATTTTTAAAGAAAAGGTAAGTTAGTGATTGCTTTGGGGGGTGGGGGGAACCTAAATTTTCACCGTAAATTTAAGTTGAAATTCACGTGCAAGTGTTTTTAGTGCCCTAAATCAAACTATAAGTATGTGGGGTGAAAGGACTTCATCAGGTCGTTGCATATTTACTGTAAAACAATATTGCCAGTATGTGTGTGGCATGAGGAAACGTGTTAGTGCTATTCAGTGTCCTGAATGTACCTTCTATTTCTACACCAGGTAGTCACATACTAGCTAGTTTCCTTTTATATTTTATATAGTTCCATGACTTTTGAAACATCAAGGAGGTAAATAATCTTAGTATTTCATGATAAAATACTAGTAGCCTGTGAAATATTAGCATTTTTCCCATTATGAACTATTCTTTCTAAAACAAGGACAAGTACCATTTCCAGACATTTTTCTAAGTTCTTTGGGTCAAAAGCTTATTTTGGGCCTGCCGGGGATGATGTTTTGAGGGAATTGTCTAGTAACGTAACACTTTGTGTATTGCCATTTTAATTTATTCTTCTACTGAAGCAAAGCTTAGTGTTTTAAATGTGTGTGCATGCTTTTGTTAAATGGCCCAGTTAACAGTGTTGAGATATACCTGAAAAGTTTTATTTCTTAGGCATTTTTTCCAACCCTGACATTGTTTTCCCAAAAAACACTAAACTGTCTTGGACACTTTGTAATTAGATTGCTTAAAAGATCAGTCTGGACTTTATTTTTGGTCTTTAATAGCAAATGCAAGACATGTCTATTATCACTATCAGTTTGTAAAGTGGGTTTTTCTTTGACTTTAAAACTGAAAATATTCACATTTGATGGCCATAGAAACCTTAACAGTGTCCTTATTAATGCCTTTTTATTGTAAAATTTCATAAGCCATGTTTTTCAAAATAATTTTATATTAAATCCAACATCACTGAAAGCCTATTAAGTGTGTCAAAGTACTCAACAGATCATTTACTTGTAGCCCCTGGGAAGATATTTGAAGTGTTACGGCCCTTCACAGTAGACAGACACATTAGGAAATGTTACATAAACTTACCACTTAGTAGTGTATACATTAGCATTAGTGGATACACTATTTTTGCCACTGATGGGGAATTCAAGTTGAAGTGTCCATCAGCCATGTAGCTCTGGAATAGATCTTTAATGTAGAATTTCCTCTCAGATAATTGGAAGGTTTACCATCTAGGCTACTGTTATTTATATAGCCAAACAAAAGCAAATAAGTAGCCCAGTTTAATTTCTTAGAATATTGCACATTTGCTCTAGGAGTTACTCAGAATCCCATCTGTATGTAGGTTCATTTAGATTCATCTAAGGATCCAAGTTATACAGCCCTGTAAAATGTAAGTATTATTACTACTTTGCCTTTACAACAAAATGCAAGTGTATTTGTATTTTGAATTCGGCACTTAGGAAAAGAGAGTTTGATTTCCAAATCATTGGGGGGGAAATGACAAAACAATGGGGAAGAAGGGAGAGTCACTTTTTTTCTCTTAGGGTTGTGAGGGGTGGAGCCTCCGTCTTTTCAAAAACACTTTTCTATTTAGTATATTTCATTTATAGAAATGCTGATTTTCTGTGTCAAAGTATAATTCCCATGCTGAAGCTCTAGCCTAAAAAGGCAAAAAGAAAGTTGTTTTCATAGTACTACAAACATTATTCATCACTTTTACAAGATAAGTAACAAGGGAACAAAAATTAGAAGTCAAGCCAAGTAAGAACACTGTTGCAGTGAATGTGCCCTAAATAAAACCACAGAACAGGCAGTTAGCGTGGGCATCTAGAAAACCTCGGTCCCCAGGACTACAGGCGGCCGGCTCGAGCGGCAGGTGCACCTTGAGAGAAGTCTGACGCACTAATGTCCAGGCCGGGCTTAGGGAAGTAAACGGGAGGATGGCAGGCCTTGATTTTTAGACTAAGCTGTGACTATAAAAATAAAGCCAGCACTTTTTGGGATAGCAACCCTTTAAAGTATCGCCCAGCTGCTGCTTGTGTCGCCCTGGTTCAGAAGTCATTTCTTTCCACCTAAACATTTACCTTCCAGTTTTACCCAGAGATTTAGGATTAGAAAAAAAAAATACATTATACTTGAGGGCCCCTTTATCTAAATTGTAACACTAAGTCTTCAGTGTTTATTGCTTCAGATGACAAGTTGTTTTAACTCTGCTTTAAAAGGACTTGTTCCCTTAAGTGACTTGTGTGGGTGTCTTACTTACGCATCAGTATTTCCGGCAAAATGAAAGGAGAAAGGAGTTGAAACTACTTGCTACTTGGGAGTGGTGGGCTTTTTGAGAGAGAGGGGTGGGTATTAAATGTTTTCATTCCACACTTAGCCCTATTAAAACAGGCCATTGTTTTCTTTTGAAGAATAGGCCCAAATAACAGCAGTCAGTATTCCTGAAATCTGACAAGTACTTGCCGTTCCCCATCCCCTATACCAAAGGCCACCATCTTTCCAGTATGTGCTTGTCTGGGTGAAGTTCCTCATTCCAAACTATGTATGTATATATCCTCGCAGTTCATTATAGTAGGACTTGACCCACAAACAGTATCTGATGGCCTGCCTATAAATAAAATTCAGCATTCTATTTTTAATAATTTGTATGCCACCAATTTGTATTCTTTGTCTCAATAAATACTTGATCACCAATGCTTTTGTTTTTTGACTGTTAATTTGAAATCTGCTCTACAGTCTTCTGCTTAAGGGAACCCTTGCTTCCAAATACAATTTTCTAGCGTTCCCCGCCTTTAGGAGAATGGCAGTCAACTAGAGTGCTTTCAGAAATAGAGGTCTAACCCTCCCCCAAAAAAGTCTACCTTTTGGGGTATATTCTTTAAGCACGTCACTCAGAAGTTACCCATAGGTGACTTTGCTTAATGTTAAACTAATCCTGTCCTTAAAGTGGTTAACCATCCTAACTATTATGCAAGATACTAAGGACCCAAGTTACACATGGGAAACCAGAAGTTCAAAGTCTCCTAGCTGGTAAATGACTGAGCTGGGCAATTTAAATCTAGTTCTGATCTTACAAGCATTTCCTGTTCTAGAGAAGGAAAACAGGAAATAAAACAGGTTCCTCAAGAAGAACACAGATAATAAACTAAATGTAGCTAAACAATGGCCTGGTCTGAGTTCTACAATGTGCTGTTCTGAGCACAGGCACAAATTACACGTTTCTGGAACTACGAACTACAGTGGACTAAGGGGTGCTCCATAGTACTAGTAAATTCAATTGGCCTGTGTTGCTGGACCCAATACGCTCGTTTTCTTAATTTTACTGTACCAAATGTCAGTTTCCATTAAACACACAGGCTAACCTTTGTAAACTTTCCATTGGGTTTCAAACTTTAAATAGGCCCAGGAGACAAACGAGGTCATGGGGATGAGAAGGACAGCTCGGTAAGTAGTCACTAGTTCTACAATCCCGTACGGTGACCACACGTACAGTGGTGAGCACTGAGTGATGTACGGAATTGCTGAATTACGCTGTATGCCTGTAACCATTACAACATGGTGTAGGTCATCAATACTTGAATAATAAAAATTTTTAAATTAGCATTATTTGAAACTAAAGTGTTGGACTAATTTACAGCCTGGTTACAAACTGTTAAAATTAGTCCAGCACTTTAATTTCAAATAATAAAATCCTAAGTACATGAACAATTTCAGGAGAAAATTTGTAACAAGTATTAATAAGCAGCTAGCTTGAAGACATTTTTCAGTGGTCTAAAGTACACTTTTTCTTAATGCCCCAAATCCTAAATTACCAAAACAGCCTGGCACCCGAAGTGGCATCCTCATGCCTGGAGCTCAGGCATTCGAAGTCCTCCAGCATGAGAAGGGGGCTCGCTTTCTTGCCGTGCTACCTCCCCTCCTTGCACCAACTGCCTTCAGGTTTCACTTGCGGAGGGAACGTGGAACCGAGGTCTGCCCGAGACCGCGGTTACAGCCACAGAGAGTGGCTGAGAAGTGTGTCTGCAGCCGGAGCCGGTGCGTGGGGGAGATCCTTCTGCCGGGCCCCGAGGGGGGGCGGGGCGGGGGCGGGGTGCAGGGTGGCGGATGGAGCCGCACTCAAGACTGTCTTCTGGAGACACGGAGCGCAGCGTACGAACGAAGGCAGTGGGACATGGAAAATCCAAGTCCCAAGTCCGAGTACAGCTCTGCCGACTACAGCTTTGGTGCCAGAAGATTTCATTTTTAAGCCACCTTAAGTATGATTTTCAGTCACTTGTTTTGAAGAATACTAAGTAAATATTTCTAGCACATTTCTTATGAAAATCTTCCCCAGAGTAGAAAGCCTAATATTCCCGTTCATACGGGCCCAGAGAATGACTGATAATGAACGAACCTGCCATTTATTTAGGCATGAACATCTCCCCATTAAAACCAGATTTCCAGTATTCATCATTTGCCCCCAAACAGGCCTGTGTCAAGTGTGTATTATTAATAAAGTGAGAATTATAAAATGTTTCCCCCCACAAACCAGCATCTGATAATGGCCTAAGATGTTTTCAATATGCAAAATATCTTTTCAAAATTGGAAACACGTACAAAAAAAGCTCGTAAACATTTTGAAGTTCTGAATTTGGACTTCAACCAGTTCTGAATCTGGACTTCAACCAGAAGTTCGGCAAAATAAAAGTCCGCGCAAAATAATTCTGTGCTCAAATTAAGTATAAAAATCAGCAAATGCTGTCCCAACAGGTCTTTTATGGACCACAGATCTAGTTAGAAAAAAAAAAATTGGTAAAAGAATTCCATGCATGTGTCTCCAAGACTCGATCAATAAACACTGTCTAGTCGCCTCTCAAGGAAGATACAGATACAAACAGAAATGGTTACGTGTGTTTATTTTAAACTTTTAAAAAGGTATGTCAATTTATATGCAAAGTAGGCGTGATTCCTAGCACCAGACAAAAAGCAGGGTACCTTCTCTATGTTTTACGTTCAGACACTTCCCCCTTCACTTAGGAGTTGTCCAAATCACTTAAATGTATTCTTTGGAATTTCTCTGACCATGGCGAACCTTTACAAAAAAAGGTTCCCTTCCATTAACACGGGTACCTTCATTTTAAGTTAACACTAGAACAAAAAATATTTCATAATTTTTTATTGATGGCATTTATCCCATGGTTTAACATGTTAATTATACTGTAATAAACATGGCTTTAATATTAAACTTTTCCTTATTATCCAAAGTCACCACAATCCATTTCAGTAAATATAAAAATATATGCTTAATACTTTGTACAATACTGGTTTTTGGTCCAAACAAAACTGGATCAGAAAAGCCAATAAATTCACTTTAAGAATCCCCAATTTTTTTTTAAAGATTTCCAAATGGATTTAGGCAACTTTGAATAATGGGATTTACATAATAAAATCTGAGACAAGACTAAACAAAGAACAAACAAATTTTCTAACACAAAATTAAAATTTCAAGTTCACAGATTTATGTTATGCCAAAAAAGTACAGAAACAAAATTGTATTTACACAAGTTTCATAATAAAATAATGAAAAAGGCAAGACAGGTGATAGGAGAATGAAAATATAGAAATAGCATATAATTATTAAATGGAGAACGCACTAGATCTAATAAGTCCTTAGCATGGACCATTCTTTAATCAGGCTTCCTCTATCAGAAAATTTTAGTGCACAATACACCCAACTCACTCACTTCACACATACACCAGCACAAACTCAGCATAGAAATCATTCACTTCCACAGTCTCTAATCTATACAGAATTCCTCCGGGATAATTACAATTCCAGCGCGTTCCGTAAGCGCGTGCGGGCGCACAGAGCGCGGCGGCCGCAGGCGGCTCGAGGCCAAGCCGGCCGGGGAGCGGGCTCTGTCCCCGGGCGCCGCCCGCCGACGCCGCCTCAGGGGATGATGTGCTGGATCCTCTTTCTGCTGAAGAATCAGTCACCAATCTAGCTATTTTTTTTTTTTTTAAGGGGGTGGGAGGGGGAGGGCAGGGCTTCTGTAAAGAAAAAGGAGGGAGTCCCAGACGTAGAGAAGGCCTCGGGCGGCTCCGGCCTGAGGCGGTCCCTCACCCCGGCCGCGCCGGAAGCCGAGCGGCAGGGCCCCGGCCGCCGCCAAGCGTGCTGTGCGACGCACCGCCGCCTTCATTTCCGGCGCCTGACGGCAGTCTTTATCTTGCGGCCAGACACGGAAGTTCCAGAAGAAGAGAACACATTTTTGCCGTTTGACCTGTGGGAAATAAAGACTGCATTCCGTGACCAGGTGCCCGGGAGATTTCAGAATCACCACAATCCTACCTGCGACCGGCGTTGG